CATGCACATGCACATGTGCATGCACATGTGCATGCACATGTGTATGCGCGCGAGAGTTCAACAGAGTACAGGCTCAGGCCGCCAGGAGGCGCGCCACGAGCGCTGCTTTGACGCCGGTGGTGGCCAAGCCGAGGCGCTCGCACTCGCTCCTCAGCTCGGCGACCCGCATGGCCTTGTACCGCTTCTCCGCGGCCGCCTTGTCCTCGCTCGCGCCTGGCACTACGCGCACACACCGCTCCGCACCTTTCTCGCCCTCGTAGTACTGCACCTTGCCGTCGGCGAACTCCGTGCGCACACACCGCTCCGCACCTTTCTCGCCCTCGTAGTCCTGCACCTCGCCGTCGGCGAACTCCGTGCGCACCATCCGCTCCGCACCTTGCTCGCCCTCGTAGTACTGCACCTTGCCATTGGCAGTCTCCATGCGCACCAGCCGCTCCGCGCCTCGCTCGCCCTCGTAGTGCTGCACCTTGCCATTGGCAGTCTCCATGCGCACCCTCCGCTCCGCACCTTGCTCGCCCTCGTAGTGCTGCATGCTGCCATTGGCAGTCTCCATGCGCACCTTCCGCTCCGCGCCTTGCTCGCCCTCGTAGTGCTGCACGGAGCCATCGGCACGCACCGCGCGCACCAGCCGCTCCGCGCCTGGCTCGCCCTCGTAGTACTGCACCTTGCCATTGGCAGTCTCCATGCGCACCAGCCGCTCCGCGCCTCGCTCGCCCTCGTAGTGCTGCACCATGCCGGACTGCAAGAGGCGTCGCCGCAGATTCGCGCCATTCTCTTCGCCGCGCCGCAGTCTCCAGCACTCGGCGCGACTCGCGCCAGCACCCGTCACTTCCGACGAGAGGCAGCGTGCCGGGCTCACCCTCGCAAGCCACGGGAAGTTGTCGGCGGTGGCGCGGCGGTCTGCGGCGTAGGCGCGAAGGGTGGCCTCGTTGAGCGTGTCCACGATGGGCGCCCCGACGAACGACCCGGCAAGCAAGCGCTCGATGAGCAGCAGCCGCATCGCCACGGCGAAGAGAGGGTCCTTGAAGCGCGCCAGGCCGCTGCGAAGTCCGAGGAGGCCGAGGCGCGGCGACGCGAGGCTGAAGGCGGCGCAGTCGGAGAAGTCGTCGACGCCCTCGAGGATGCGAAGGTGCAGCTCCGGCGGCAGCTCGCCCAGCCAGTCCGTGGGCGGGGCGTCGTCCTCGGTGCGTGCGCGGGGCGAGCGCGACATTGAGCAGTCCCCGGAGCAGACCGACATCGAGCGCGACATGCGCGGCGCTAGAGTTTTATTTTCTTTTTCCCAAAAATAAGAAAGGGCAGACCCCGCCCCGCTCGGAGTGCGCACTGATTGTTTTTCTCGCTGTCAATGGTTGCAGAGACGCT